ACTGTTTGCTCGGATGAGAGGCCTGGCTTGGCTGCTGTTGAGGGGGGGGGCATACCATGGCGGTTTTTTTTTGGGGTGGCCACGGCGACGCCGGACCATCCATGCTCATGTCTGCGTCTATGTCTGTGTCTATGTTTGCGCCAGCTATGCCTATGCTCCTGTGATGCATACGGGTGTATGTATGTATGTATGGTATGTAATGTAATGTGATGTGATGTGATGTAATTATTTATGTATGTATGTATGTATGTATGCATGCATGTAAGTACGCATGTACATACACGTACGTACGTAGGTAGGTATGTGTGTATGTGTGCGCGTGTACACATACATATACATCCATCCATCCATACCTACCTACCTACGTACGTACATACATACATATATGTGCATGTGTGTATGTGCGTTTGCGTGTGTGTCTGTGAAGCAACGACGGTGCATGCATGCATGCACGCACACATGCATCAAATGCATTCATGCATGAATGGGTGAACGAATGAATGAATGGATAAACAAATCAATAAATAAATAGTAATAAGTACATGAACGAAATGCTTGCACGGATGCACGGATGCTCTCATGCATGGGTGGATGGATGGTTGGATGGATGGATGGACGGACGGACTGACAGAGGCAATGATGCATGTAAACATGCACGTCATATGTGCGCCTTTTGCGATAACAATCGAACATTATGATTGTGATTTCAACAACCGTCACCTCTCAGCTACACGACCGCGGCCGTCCTCACCATCAGGAGCCATTGCTCCGGTTTCTTGCAAAGAACTTCGATTTCGTGCACTTGGCAGATGACATCTTTCCGGAGAACCGAACATGTAAAGACGAATGCTTCAGCAAATTATGGAACCAGCAGCTACGCTAAGACGACCTTCGTGAATGCCTTGCCCCGGCCTTCCAGGGTGCCGAACGCCCTGAGGATCAGCGTGAAGTAGGGCGGCAAGCGGAAGGCCCCGGAGTACTTCTTGCTGATGGCCTGCAACCTGGAGGGGGCCATCTCCCCAGGAGAGGCTTTGACTAAAATCGTGGGGCCCATTCCAGGTTTTCTATGGAGTTGCACGCGGGCTGCGCTACTTCCATAGTTGTAGCCTTTACGCTTTACACTAACACCTTCAAGCACAGTCGTCGATGGATACCCTGCTAACAAGACACTTCTCCCGTAAGCCGTCCAACTTTCCAGCAGCTTTCATCTCTTCGCGCTGCTTCGCGAACATCTCCTATCAGCTCTGAAACCCGTGCTGCTGGCCATGAGATACAGTATACCTTGATTCTGAAAACGAAAATTACGAAGGCTAGTGTGGTGATCATGAGCTGATCATGAAGCGGCCACTGCTGGTTCTCATGGTGCTAGTGGAACCCTGGATGTGGACGTGGGTGCGGGCGCGGCTGTTGGTGTCAGTCAGCGTTTGGGGGTTGACTTCTCGATGACTTGATTGCTGCTCTGTTGTCGGTTCACTTCTGTTCGCACCGGTGCTCTTGCTAGCTTTCTTCTTGCTATTGCTATTGGGGATTTTGACCGCCACTGCCCGTACTCGTAGTTCGGGTCACTGGAGATTGCACTCAACAGCACGTTGATCTCGAAGCGCGGTTTGCATCACTCACTGCGTCGATCGGGTAAGCACTACAATCTACGCCGTCCAAAGTCCCAACGGCTGGTGGGTTTTGCAACTACGGCTGGCTGTGATTGCCCCGGTGTTGATGTCCAATTGCGTACTGCGTGTTGCCTTGCGCTCGGGCAGAAAGAAGGCACGATGAATCGACATAAGACTGCAAAAGGCTGTGATCAGCACAGTTCTTGCCGGACGGTGCACCCATCCCGTACCCACCCTCCCCTTCTCACAGCTCCCGCTTCTTCTTGAGGTCGCCCCCCTCTTCGTAGAGTGTCGAGAGGGTGTTGGCCAAGGTCGGCACGATGATGTCCAAGGCTTCTTTGTCGGCCGCCAAGGCCTCAGGACTTTTCACCCACACCACCGGATCAAGCTAGGGGCTAGGGCGGCAAGCAGGCGGGGGCGTGGAGGGCTGAGGCCCTCAAGGCAGGAGCTCAGCACCCGGCCGGCGGGAAGAACTCCAGATTGATCCTGGGCTCTCATGCCACTTTCACCCACCGTTTCGGGACCCCCTTCCCCTTTGTCTGGGAATTCCAGGATGGGTTCATAGAGTGCGAGGAGGCGAATTGTGGGCTCCCTCGCCTTGGTCCTGAGTACTGACTGAGGCCTCAGACTTCTCAGACGACCCCAAGTTCAAGCAACAGAGGGTTTGCGAAACGAAGCCCAGGCTCAAATCGTTGAGACAGCTCTTGTACTCCTTCGCCTGCCTGGGAATTCAAGATAATCAAAGTGTGCAGCAGAGATTGAACCGAAGGGTGGCTTTCGTAAGAGTCTGCAAACATCTTCGTTGCGCATCGCAGCGCGGAAAAGGCTGCAAACGAAGACGGCTGGCGCCCCCAACCCCTAAACAAGCCCTTTTTGCAAAGGCCGCGGCAGGTGCATCAAGAACTCGATGAAAGCGAGGCGTTTCTCTCCACTGATCTCGGTCATGAGGCCTCGCCATCTATCTCTTCTTGCGTTCGGTCCGGTCTAGCTGGAAGCAACGAGGGTGGCACAACGGTCCTTCAGTTCCCGCAGGGAGGAGAAAAGACTACGAAATGCTGTGAGCCGAAATCCCTCACCTCGAAACCCGACCTGCCCAAGTCCTTCAATCCCCGAGGCCAACCTCCATAGCCTGAAACTGCTCAAACCCTGGGAAGAAGCCCCCCCCACCCCCCACCCCCGCTCTTCCGAAAAGCTTGCGACCCAAGGGCCGTAGTCGAGGATCCCCAGCCGGCCATCCCCTGAGCCGAAGGGTTGGCCGGGTTTCCCAGATTCCTCTTTCGAAGTTTTAGACTTGGAAGCTCCGGGTTCCTGATGTGCCCGCGAATGAGGCAGAGACCCAGAGCTCCTGCACCTCTTTCGAAGGATATCTGATGGATACTTTCGACTCTCACTTACTTTGGGGTTTGAAGCTTAAGAGCCCAGCTGGTCCAACGTAGACTCCGTTTCGGGGCCATTGCATGCTGCATTCTGAGACTCTTTGCCGGCCAGGCCGCCCATGAGGATGAAGTTGCCCGGGTGAGGGTCTCCGTGAAGGTACCTCTGCCCAGGAACATCATCATCATCCTCATCTGACAACGACTGCTATTTTTGCAGCAGCAGCTGCTGCTGCTGGTGCTGCTACCGCTCCTCGTCCTCTTCGTCCTCCTCCTGCTCCTGGTGCCACCGCAGCTGCTACTGCTCCTGATACTGCTCTTACTGCTACTACCACTGCGTCCGCCACACACCACCACCACCACCACCACCACACCACCACCACCACCACCACCACCACAACCGCCACCGCCACCGCCACAACCATGCCGAACCTGCTGATATGGATGATGCTGATGATCGTGCTGACCTTTTGCTGGTGCTGGTTTTTGCCGGCACATGCTATCGATGCCGGCGGTGCTTCAGGTAATGGTACATACTGGGAAGATGCTTCCGGTGATGCTGTGCATGATTTTGATGCTTTTGATGATGCCGCCGGTGAAAATGCTGATGATGCTGCCTGGATGCTACTGCTGGAGATGATGACAAAATTGGGACGGTCGGTGATGTTGATGCTGATGCTGCAGATGCTGCCGGTGATGGTGCCGGAGCATTTGCTAGCGCAAATGCACTGCTGCTGCTGCTGCTGCTGCCACCACTAAGTCAAGGCACCCAGTTTCCAAGAACTGGACCATATAGCTGTTCAGCAAAAGCCTCAGAGTCACGGCTGAGAAATGCAGTTTCGGAGTGTGCATCCCCAAGTTCATTCAAAACGGTTTGCTTGACGTGTTGGGTGGCTCGTGAAAACAAAGCATCTCGGCGCCAGCCTGGTGGACTTCCCTGGCCCCCTGGCCCTACTTATAAATGAAGCCAGGACAAGCATGCCCAAGATAGGTTAAAGTCCGCCTACTTACTCAGTAAGGTAAATCAAACAAGCCCATGGATGGATGTGTCACACCTCAAGACAAGAAAACGGACCAGATTAAGCCAACGAAGCTTGACCACACGGCCAGCCTGCCAGCGAAATTGCGTACATAGCTCGCTGCAGTCACAGTCACAACCCGAAGGTCTCAGGTCTCAGATGCTTCCGGTGTTGCATCACGCTTTCGGTTTTCAGTTCTTTGGGTTTGGCCAGTGCGAGTTCAGTGATTAAGCTCAGTCAGGCAGTGCTCAACTGTGCGCTATGCGAATGGAATGGAAGTTAACAACAGCAGCAGTCTTGGCACTGGCATGCCTGCTCCTGGGCTGCACCAGGCTCCGTCAACTTCTTTCCATCCAGCCACTCCTGCAGAATCCCTACGGACATGCATAGTTTCAGCATGCTTGATGCTGACTTGAACTTGGCAAAACCAGTGACACACCAAGGCTTCGCATGTCGGACTCTCCTGGACCAGTACCTCACCTCGGTCAAGCACTTCTATACCCCGCAAGAAGTCTGCTTGCATGTGCTACAATGCTACAACGGCTACAAATTTAAAAATCACTTTCGGCAACAAGAACACCTTGAGCCGAGCTACGGTTTGCAAAGACGATGTCCGGCACTGCCACAGCATCTTTGATGAGCTCGCAGTCCTGCCACATAGCTCTCTCTCAGGCGGGCAACAGTGGAGCGACGGCATGGGACAGTATTCGGATGCAAGGCAGAGTGCGGATTCATCCTCCACTGTCTTGGCAAAGCGGCGCTGGTTTTCCGCCTCGACCTTTCGGAAATGCACGGTGCTTACGGACATGAGGTACAGACCCCACCTATACGCCTCTCACACAGGCACACACAGAGACTTGCGAGTGAGCACACCCCAAGAGGGTACTCAGCCTCGTAGTCAAGCTCCTGAATGAAAGTGGGCGCAGTAAGGTCGATGAGCTCGACGAGCTGCTTGGACTGCCTGGCAGTGGACCTGAAAGGCAGGATAAGGCAGGGCAACGCTCCCTTCCGCCGCAGCCTACGTAGCTGTGGCTCTATTGCAAACGCGAATCTCCTCCCGTGATGGTGAATCGGATTAATTACGCATGGATTTGATTTCGGTCCGCTGAAAAGGATAAGTCTGGGCACCGATCTGTACCACGCCTCAACACACAATAACCCCCAGCTGTCATGCAGAAATTACGAGCAGAGCTCCTGAAAAGTCCGACAGCGTCGGGAAGCAGAGCGGCAGGAAGGGCCAGGGCAGCAGGGAACCGATCGAGCCGGCCGTGCGGATGACGTAGAGATCCTGAGCTCAAAAAAAGTATATGTCCAAATGTACAGATGTACATCTTATGCGTGTAGATGCAAGGCGTATCTTACTGTCTACATGCTTTACATAAACAGTGAATGACTGGTGTGCATGCATGTGTGCATGCATACATGCCTATGTCCACGTGTGACTTCAAGCAGGTATGCCTGCCTGCCTGGATAGATGTCTAGTAAATGGATACATGTAACTTAGACGTGGATTTAGATGTAGGCCAAACTGGATTGGACCAGATTAGAACAGATTAGCTAGATAGATACATCGCCAAAAAATAAAAAGGAAACCCGGATTTCAAGGACTCCATCCACACCAGCGCAAGCGCTTCATGCAAGGCACCAGAGTGGACTGGTCCCGCACATCCGGGCGCTGCACTTTCACCGCCACCGTCTTCCCGTAGAGCTCGGCCTTGTAGACCTTTCCGGCGTTTCAGGCTTCAGGGTTTAGGGACGAGGCAAAGAGGGGTCTGCAAGGGAGCAAGTCAACATCACTCTGGGTCGTGTTGGTCGTCCAACGTGGGTCCCTTACAGAATCAATCACAGCCTCAACCGGGCCCTGACGAATCTCTCTTTGCGCCGGTGGTCGTCCCAAAAGTGGCACTACCTCGAACCTCAAGTGGCAAACGATTCTTTGCACAAAGACTGCGTTGCGAAACGGAGGCAGTCAGCAAAAGCAGATGCCACCCACCCACCCGCCCACCCTAAACCTTAAGCCCTAAACCCTAGTCTCCATAACCTACACATCCCCCATGCCCTGAGTTGAGCCAACCTGCCTGGCCCACCGATGCTGAGGCGATGGGCTTCTCGAAGACACTGAGGTCGTCAAACCTTCTGCTCTCTAAGCCTATCTACAACAAACGTCTACATGATTCTACGCACGTGGACATGACATATTGTAATACATTTAATTTCATGTGTGTATATATACATA